ATGTGTGGGGAGATGGGGGTGGAGAGGCGGAGACAGAGAGAAACACACACACACACACACACACACACACTCACACACACACACACTCACACTCACAGAGACACACAGACGACACACACACTCACTCACAGAGACACACACACACTCAGAGACACAAGATGACACACACACACTCAGAGACACACAGACACACATACACAGAGACACACAGACGACACACACACTCACTCACAGAGACACACACACACTCAGAGACACAAGATGACACACACACACTCAGAGACACACAGACACACATACACAGAGACACACAGACGACACACACACTCACTCACAGAGACACACACACACTCAGAGACACAAGATGACACACACACACTCAGAGACACACAGACACACATACACAGAGACACACAGACGACACACACACTCACTCACAGAGACACACACACACTCAGAGACACAAGATGACACACACACACTCAGAGACACACAGACACACATACACAGAGACACACAGACGACACACACACTCACTCACAGAGACACACACACACTCAGAGACACAAGATGACACACACACACTCAGAGACACACAGACACACATACACAGAGACACACAGACGACACACACACTCACTCACAGAGACACACACACACTCAGAGACACAAGATGACACACACACACTCAGAGACACACAGACACACATACACAGAGACACACAGACGACACACACACTCACTCACAGAGACACACACACACTCAGAGACACAAGATGACACACACACACTCAGAGACACACAGACACACATACACAGAGACACACAGACGACACACACACTCACTCACAGAGACACACACACACTCAGAGACACAAGATGACACACACACACTCAGAGACACACAGACACACATACACAGAGACACACAGACGACACACACACTCACTCACAGAGACACACACACACTCAGAGACACAAGATGACACACACACACTCAGAGACACACAGACACACATACACAGAGACACACAGACGACACACACACTCACTCACAGAGACACACACACACTCAGAGACACAAGATGACACACACACACTCAGAGACACACAGACACACATACACAGAGACACACAGACGACACACACACTCACTCACAGAGACACACACACACTCAGAGACACAAGATGACACACACACACTCAGAGACACACAGACACACATACACAGAGACACACAGACGACACACACACTCACTCACAGAGACACACACACACTCAGAGACACAAGATGACACACACACACTCAGAGACACACAGACACACATACACAGAGACACACAGACGACACACACACTCACTCACAGAGACACACACACACTCAGAGACACAAGATGACACACACACACTCAGAGACACACAGACACACATACACAGAGACACACAGACGACACACACACTCACTCACAGAGACACACACACACTCAGAGACACAAGATGACACACACACACTCAGAGACACACAGACACACATACACAGAGACACACAGACGACACACACACTCACTCACAGAGACACACACACACTCAGAGACACAAGATGACACACACACACTCAGAGACACACAGACACACATACACAGAGACACACAGACGACACACACACTCACTCACAGAGACACACACACACTCAGAGACACAAGATGACACACACACACTCAGAGACACACAGACACACATACACAGAGACACACAGACGACACACACACTCACTCACAGAGACACACACACACTCAGAGACACAAGATGACACACACACACTCAGAGACACACAGACACACATACACAGAGACACACAGACGACACACACACTCACTCACAGAGACACACACACACTCAGAGACACAAGATGACACACACACACTCAGAGACACACAGACACACATACACAGAGACACACAGACGACACACACACTCACTCACAGAGACACACACACACTCAGAGACACAAGATGACACACACACACTCAGAGACACACAGACACACATACACAGAGACACACAGACGACACACACACTCACTCACAGAGACACACACACACTCAGAGACACAAGATGACACACACACACTCAGAGACACACAGACACACATACACAGAGACACACAGACGACACACACACTCACTCACAGAGACACACACACACTCAGAGACACAAGATGACACACACACACTCAGAGACACACAGACACACATACACAGAGACACACAGACGACACACACACTCACTCACAGAGACACACACACACTCAGAGACACAAGATGACACACACACACTCAGAGACACACAGACACACATACACAGAGACACACAGACGACACACACACTCACTCACAGAGACACACACACACTCAGAGACACAAGATGACACACACACACTCAGAGACACACAGACACACATACACAGAGACACACAGACGACACACACACTCACTCACAGAGACACACACACACTCAGAGACACAAGATGACACACACACACTCAGAGACACACAGACACACATACACAGAGACACACAGACGACACACACACTCACTCACAGAGACACACACACACTCAGAGACACAAGATGACACACACACACTCAGAGACACACAGACACACATACACAGAGACACACAGACGACACACACACTCACTCACAGAGACACACACACACTCAGAGACACAAGATGACACACACACACTCAGAGACACACAGACACACATACACAGAGACACACAGACGACACACACACTCACTCACAGAGACACACACACACTCAGAGACACAAGATGACACACACACACTCAGAGACACACAGACACACATACACAGAGACACACAGACGACACACACACTCACTCACAGAGACACACACACACTCAGAGACACAAGATGACACACACACACTCAGAGACACACAGACACACATACACAGAGACACACAGACGACACACACACTCACTCACAGAGACACACACACACTCAGAGACACAAGATGACACACACACACTCAGAGACACACAGACACACATACACAGAGACACACAGACGACACACACACTCACTCACAGAGACACACACACACTCAGAGACACAAGATGACACACACACACTCAGAGACACACAGACACACATACACAGAGACACACAGACGACACACACACTCACTCACAGAGACACACACACACTCAGAGACACAAGATGACACACACACACTCAGAGACACACAGACACACATACACAGAGACACACAGACGACACACACACTCACTCACAGAGACACACACACACTCAGAGACACAAGATGACACACACACACTCAGAGACACACAGACACACATACACAGAGACACACACACACACTCACACTCACACAGAGACACACACACTCACAGAGACACACACACTCACACACACACACACTCACACTCACAGAGACACACAGACGACACACACACCCCCTCACACAGCAACACA